AGCACCGTAAGATTGATAACCTCCAGCACCTTGCGCACCACTGTTGGGGGACCGCGAGCGGCGTTCAGTGCGACGATAGTCCTCTCGGCTGCGCGAGCGGCTACGGGGGGAGTAGGAGCGTCTGGAGCGTCGCGGTGAGCGAGATCGTCGACGAGGTGAGCGGTCGCGCTGCTCATAGTTGTCAGTTTCGTACGACATGATTGCAAAATTGACGCAATGTGTCGAGGTGGGAGCGAGGTTGTTAAAGGTTAGGCGATGGCGAGCAGTTGCGGGCTCGCGTGGTTGATGGGGTTGAGGAGAGGTTGCGCGAGCAGGTGAGGGCTGGCAGCTCGGAGCTTGGTCAACGACAGGCCGCCCGGCGGCAGTTGCCAAAAGCGTCAATCACGTGACGGTCACGTGACAGCGATGGGCGATGGATTGAAAGGTGACGACTGCCTCGGAAAGGCTCAGAGGTAGGCATCATCAATGTCGTGATCGTCGCTCCCGCCTACTACGCCGCGCAATGCGGCAGCCTTGCTATCCACCTGACCTGTGCCTGGAGGCAGGAAACGGAGATAAAGGGACTTGGGTACTTACTCGGTCGCTTGGACGATAGTTGTCTCCTGCAGAGTCTGGTAGGCAGAAGTCAGCAGGCAAAGTGTCAAGTTGTAAGAGGAAGCAGAACCGTGATGGCGCGGGAGATGGCAAAAGCGTTGAAAGGCCGCCAGGGAGGGGAAGTTACGGATGCGTATATAAGAGGGGCCCACTTACCCATCCTGTGTATGAGAAGTAGCTACCGGTGACACTTGCTTAAGGCCGGCTTCCCTGCCAGCTGAACGGCCAAGTGGTGCAGATATCACGCTGCAGAGAAATTGCCCTTCTTCCGTCCACGCCTCAACGATGACGCTGTATGGGTCCTCGACGGTACAAGTCTCCCCACGGCACGGCACCCAGCCAGCCAATCGCAATCCAGAAGCACCCACCGCGAGCCTGAGGGACGTCCCAGCAGTCTGGGTTGGTTGACGGAGGTTGAGGTTGCAAGACCGATCGGGAGCGTGTCGGTAAGCCTTGGATGTAGCTGAACCTGTCGTGAACTCACGGTTGGCGTCTACACGATGATTATTTCCGTAGTTGAGTATTTTCTCTTCCTTTTTCCGAGAGTCGTGCGGACGGCCAGCTTCCAGGCAAACACCCTGATGGTTGGTCGGACTGTGATGGAGGGCTGCGTGTGGGTCTGTGGAGTCGTTCGGTCGTTGTGCCTTCCCCCACCATTCTGGAGGCCGTGCGCCTTCTGCGGGAACGGGTTCCTTAGCCGCGGCTTCTGTCTGTCCACTATTTACTCCGCATGGCTTCTTTATTCAAACACTCAAGAACTCGGCATCACAGTCGTCAATTCAAATACAGGGCCGGTCTTGAGTCGCTGCGTGTGTGGGATCCTAGCAAACACTGTCAAGCTGCCATAGTCTGGACCCTTATCCATGTGCACTGTTACATCGTCAGATCTCATCGTCGATTTAGCTAAAGTCGTAACACCAACACACACCCGTACTTGTATCACCAGTTCACCCAGTCTGTCCCTCCAGGCCTAGCCGCGCAACTATGGTCTAGACCTGAATCTTAACGGATATATTGCTTCTCGGTTGCTCGCATGCTCTAGATGTACCGAACTAAACATGTAAGCCGTTCGGTGCACTTTGTGCTATCAGGCGCTTGCTTGCTTCCGGAGACAGCAGTGCGTTTGTCATCGCAAAACCGTTCCCATGACGTTCTTAGACCAAAGGTCAACTGAAGCAACCGATTGCTTTAGAACGAGCTGGTTGCTGCTCGTAGATAGGTGCAGCAAACTTTTGCCTTCTACTTTTTAGCACCGATGAAGATGGTCGCGTCCTTTGACTATCTGATATTTTGCATACACTGACTCAAAGAGTTTGCCTGATAGTCCCGACAAATGTTCCAGAGGCTTCAATCTACAATCCACGTATCTTGAGAAGCCCAGAGCCGAATGCGTGGCTGGAACGTAAGATGTGAGTTGCTCACTCTTGTAACGGACTGCAAGGTCAATAAGTTAAGAAATCACAGCTCCATGGCTTCCAAGTGCTACAACTACACAATGGCGCTGTAAAAATGTTGTTGCCTCGAACCGCTCCAGTTTTCGTTAAGGGAGTTGAATATCGCCAGAGGCAGTATAGATGTTGCAATGCGATTCGGCAATAGGGCCAAAGGGTAGACGACGTGATGAGGCTCAAAGCCGAGGTTCCCCACAACCAAACGTCTCCATGCATCTCTAGTTCGCCGATAGACTAATATGCATGTTTACTCTACATCGCTATATGCGAAATCCTATAGCTGTCTGAAAACTATCTTCCAGACGCAACCGTGTGCATGTTACTCCTTTCTGCTGTCGAGTCCAAGATGCCTACCAAGTCGCCTTTTCCGGATGTAAAGATCCCGAGTGTCGACCTCTGGGGTCTGATGTTCGATCGCAAAGACCGCGACTTCTCCGACGACAAAGTCATATATCGCGCCATCAACTCTGACCGACGATACACGTTTGCTGATGTAAAGAGCCATGCGACATTGTTTGGTGAAGGCCTGAGGAATCTCTGGGACTGGCAGAAAAACGACGTCCTCGCATTATATGCACCCAACGATGTCGATATACCGTCCGTCATCTATGGAACGTTCTTTGCCGGTGGCATCGTCACGCCTGCCAACCCAGGGTACTCCAAAGATGAGCTGGCTTACCAATTGGAGAACTCTGGAGCTAAGGCACTTGTCACAACCAAGGCCTTCTTGGATACCGCGTTGAAGGCCGCAGAGAAGGTTGGAATTCCAAGTGACAGAGTAATCTTATTGGGTACCGAGAAGGATGAGACACATCGATGCAAGCATTGGACTAGCATCCGAAAAACATCAGGTGCACTGCGCTATCGCAGGAGGAGGGCAGACCCTGAAGATTTGGCATTCCTTGCTTACAGTTCTGGAACCACGGGACTACCAAAGGGTGTTATGCTTAGCCATCGAAATATCGTCGCAGATCTACTCCTGGCACAGGGAGCAGTCGGAAACTGGTATTCGTCAGCAAACGACAAGTTTCTCGGAGTACTCCCGTTCTTCCACATATACGGTATGTTGCAAGTGCTTTCCGAAGTAGAATCTAACAAAGATAGGTCTTACCGGCTTGGTGCACCAAACATTACATCGCGGTATCGAGCTTGTAGTAATGCCTGCTTTTGACATGGAAATCTTTCTGCGAACGATACAAGAGCACAAAATCACGTTTATTTACGTTGCACCCCCAGTCATCGTGCGTTTATCTAGAGATAAGATGGTAGACAAGTACGACCTCTCGTCAGTCAAGATGATAACGAGCGGCGCGGCTCCACTGACCAAAGAGCTGGTCGACGCTGTGCACAAAAGGCTGAAGCTTAAGATCAACCAAGCTTATGGTCTGAGTGAAACAAGTCCAATGACACATACCCAGGTACGTTTGTCCTTGTATCGGAGAAGGGTAAACCGCTAATACCCAGCCAAAGCCATGGGATGAGTGGTACAGTTCTGTGGGAAGCGTAGGAAAGATGTTCCCAAACATGCAAGCAAAGTATATTTCAGCCGACGGCAAAGAACTCGGTCCCGGCGAAGCAGGCGAACTCTGGCTCAGCGGCCCCAACATCTTCAAAGGATATTGGAAGAACGAGTCGGCGACCAAAGAGGCTATCACATCTGATGGATTCTTCAAAACGGGTGACATCGGCTTTCAGGACGAACAGCATAATTTCTACATCACTGATCGAGTCAAAGAGTTGATCAAATACAAGGGCTTCCAAGTGCCACCCGCTGAACTCGAAGGAAAGCTTATGGAGAGCGAACTTGTAGATGACGCAGCGGTTATTGGGGTCAACGACGAGCAACAGCATACAGAAGTTCCCAGGGCGTATATCGTGGCCTCGCAGGCTAGCCACGCTGGTGCTGGAGAGGCCGAAGCTAGGGCTATAGTGGACTGGATGGACAAGAAGGTAGCGAACCACAAGCGACTAAGAGGTGGTATTGTGTTTATCCAAGAGATACCGAAGAGTGCGAGTGGGAAGATTTTGAGACGAGTACTCAAGGAGAGAAGCAAAGATGATGTACCCTTGGGTGTAGTCTCCAAGCCGAAGCTGTGAGATAGATGGACTTTCAGTAGAATTTTTTATACCCTTCTCCCAAGACAGAATCATTTAAACCTAGGATATTGGTCTTCAAGGCAGGTGTTCACTCCCCTCGGCACAGAGCCCTCTACAGATTCGTTTTAAAACGGATGAAGTCCTTTGATGGACTCCTGCGCACGTGCATGGCAGTAATCACAGTAGTTCCCACAAAATCCGTGAGTAAGAAATATCTAAATAGACGACCTATGAATCCACAATATTATTCGTCTTTGTAAGTCTCTTAATTAGATTCTAATGTAGGCTGCACATCAGGATCTAAGAAAAACCGGACAAATCCATCATACGTGGTATTGCACACATCTATTCATCAGTAGTCCTCTTATAAGGTATCAAGTATATATACATTTATCTAAGCTACCCATGCTGATTCATATCCGTCGTAAATACTCGTGCTCAGTAAACCTTGTCCACCACATTACCAGTAGAAGACCTGCGACCAGAAATTGTTGCAGTCTTACTGAACTCCGTTGTTCATGAAGACCATTTGAGAAAAAGAATACTCCAGTGAAAAGAAAAGTGGGGACGAGATGACACCCGTCATGTGTTACGCCAGCCATGTCCGCTCGACAGTGTTAAGCCAAAGCTAAGAGACTTTTTGTATATGCCGTGGAATATAGAGGGAGGGAGGAATCTGTGTGAAGGGGAACACACTCCGTATGCAAGTCGCCAGAAACGCTGAAAGTTTTCCAACCTTTTTTTTGTAGAAATAGGAAAGAATGCCTTGGTATAGGTGTCGTGAACATGTCGCTAAAAGAGCGAGCCGAGGGTTGAAATTAGGCAGATTCATCTTTGCCACATACTTGATGCGTCGACTCAAGCATTGCTACCCCAGGGTCCCGTTTCTTTTCCGAGTCCAGATGAGCCAGTAGTGCGATGGCCGCCGACAGGTGCAAGGTTCGGGCTGCCCTTGCCGCCACTGCCCCAGGATAGACCACTCAAACGTTTGTTGCTCGTACTGGAGGTAGTAGAGGCACCATCCCTGCTCTTGTTGAGGTCGTCCTCTTCTTCCATACTGAAAAGACCTTGCTCCTCCTCGATCCTCTCGCGGTTAATGCTGCTGCTGCTTACAGCACGATCGATACCAAGACGCCCACTGGAGCTACCAATGCTGGATGCCGAGGTAACGCGGTTGATTCCGGGATGGACGGGGTTGCTGGTGATGCCAGTCTCTTCACGAGATGATAGTCGAGTTCGCTGCAGTTGTTGGCTAATCATGCTCATGGAAGCTTGACGGGGAGGCGAAGCTAGGTAAGGGCTCATATCACCAGTAGTCGGTCGATTCATAGCGCGCAATGAAGGGCTGGCTCCCGGGTGGAGGCTTGAGTTGCGTAGTGGTGAGCCGACGTGTCCGAAAGCTGACTGACCTGGGAGGGAACCTGATTCAAACCCTTGCTCGTAGGTCGGTCCTCTCGGCTTGGCCCACATGGACTGGAAGCGCGAGGGTGAGGCGGTTGCGGCCGATGGGGATCCATATTTAAGGTCCGATGCTGTTGGCGATACACCAAACCTGGATTGTGAGGTGCGGTTATCGCTCTCGCCCTGGTCACGGGAGAAGCGGCGCATCTTTTCCTGGGGTGTGAGAAGATCGCTGAGCGAGTTTGGCAGTAGGTCTTCCTCGAATTTGCCAATCATGTCCGTCTCATCCCATTCTTCGTCCTTGTACGTCGGACGCGCGCCCACACTTGAAGACATGATACCCCGAGACCGATTAGCAGCAAGCTCGGAATGTAGCATCCTCCGCCCCACTGGCTGCTCGACGGATTCTGGCGGGGATGATCCCAATCCCGCAATGCCTCTCCGCAGACCATCTCCAAATGCAGAGTCGTGTAGGTTTCGGAGAGCAGGCGAGTCGGCTTGGTATGATGATGGCGGAGAGTTTGCAAGGAACTTGGCGGGTACAGAGGAGGCGATGGGGCCATATCGTGCCATGGTGGAGACACCCTGGCTGTCGAACGAGGCTGGGAGTCCTACATCCATGACACTCAAGCCCTTTTGGGTTGGCGATATTGGAAGTCGGCCGTTCTCGTTTGGCGGCGAGCCGTAGTTGGAACCTGGGTGGGAAGAGAAAGTGGTGTCAATGGTCGGAATCATGTCGTACTGGTTCTTCTGGTTCGCGTATTCGTCGGGCATGGCGTAAGGATAGCCGGGCTGCATACCGCCCATGTGCGCCTGCATGGTAAGCAGCGAGCTGTTCATAGGTAGCTCCTGGTGGTGTGGAATGTTCATGCGGCTGAAGTGGCCGCCGGCATTTCCGCGGTTCACGACATGGCCGTTGGGGAGGATGTGGGCGAGAGCACATTTCTGGCCGAACTTGCAGTTTCCCTGTTTGGGCAATCAGTAACAATCCATCGTCTCTTGCAATTGTCCCACCTTTGTGAAATACTTGCAGGGCGCTCGCTCTGTCAGCGGCTCATCGGAGTGCAAGAACGGACACGCCTTCCCAGCCTGACATGCGCCTTGCCGGTAGAACTTGCAGGGCACGTGTGAGGTATCTGCCCTTGTCAGCCGCTGTGTGCACACATTGGGCGTTGCCGCGACCTACTCTTGTTGTTTGGCGGACTGCGCGGGCCAGCAAAGCCCATGTCGCGCAAGTTTGCTCGATGCTCTTGGCCGTTGATGCGCCCGCCAGGCACTGCCATGGGTCCATGACCGTTTGCGCCCGCCATTGCGCCGTTGGAATGCTGGGGCCGGAGGTCGCGTGAAGCTCGTCGTGATATCTGCGGTGGATTCGACGTGTATGGCGCGGTTGGCGGGTTGAGTTGATGGGAGAAGGGTCCGTGTTGGAGATGCTGTGGTGGGGGCTCCTGGTGGGGTTTCTCGCCGACGTCTGAGGGAAAATTGGTAGGCGCAAAGGTAGCCATAGCTCTGAAAAATGGTAGCGGGCCTCGGGCCTGAATCGGCGGTCTACCTTCGGCGACAGTGAGAGATTTCTCCCAGAGACAAGGAAACCCGAGAAAGAGACTGCTATCACCCGTGAAGAGGGCAAGCTTGTCGGGCAAACGCTAGTATCTACGCGGTAAAGGCTGCAGAGCGGCAGGTCGCTTGTGGCGGACTACTGGAACGAGGACATGCGACAATCCCGCGCCAGCCACGGTGCAGTTGGGGACACTGGGGCCTGGGGACAAGACGAATAAGAGGTGCAGCGAGAAGTGGGAAAAGAGGAAACGCAAATGCAAGCAATGCTGGAGAATGATACGCCGGCTATATCGAATGCCCGTGGTGCTGCCGCCTCAGCGGTTCGCGCGTGATATGTTAATCGTCGCGGCCGCGTGACGCCATAAGAGGACCCTGGACGTGTGCATGGGGGACCTCGGAAGTCGCCATGGCATGCTTGCACCCACCCTACGCGTCGTTCCTGCCCTCCGCCCTCCGGAGTTGGCTGCCGACGCGTAGTTGACTCCCCTTCAGCTCACATGGCAGTTCCCGCCTGAAACACATCTCGGACGACCATTGCCGTGGAATATGTCGCCGCCCAATCGAGCCTCTACGCCTCACTGCAACTCTCGCACCTAGCCGTCACCTGAGGCTGCCATCACGGTCATCTGCAGCAAGAGCGGCGCATTCGTTGCAGACCCACTTTTTCAATTCAGGTCTAGACACATCTCCTCCAAAAAATGCTATGCTAGTCTTGTTATCATCCTATCCTTCTTGAAATCTTCCAACAGTATAACACATATCCAATGAGATAGTACGACTCCTCGCCACTCCATTGACACCCTAGACCAATACGCTAGCTATGTCCGATGCGTAGTATACCAGCCGAACAGGTGTTGTTATACCACTCCATCTGCAGATCGTCCACCATGTGCACTTGCGGTATGCCCAACAGGTATGTGTAGGCATTGAACTGGATCCCGGAAAGCGCCCGGAACTGGTCGTTGAAGAAGATCTGAGTAAGGTGGCAGTCGATGTACCCCCAGCATGCTGGAATCGTCGCATTCTGTTCTGCAACGAGCACCTCTTCTTTGAGGACAGGGTCATAGCGATAGCCAGACACCCGCAGTGTACAGGGCTCGAGACCGCTGAGAGCGCAACCAAAGTAGGCAGAGTACGCGTTGAACCAGTAGGCATCGACCGAAGCCCGTGGTCCGGCACCAAGCTCACCGGGAAGCATCATGCCCGCAAATGGCGTGTTGGGAAGGAGGCGTCCGGTCAGAGGCAGGAACATTGCGATGTTTGGCTGCGAGATGGCGGGGTATGGCTCCCACATGTCAGGTATATATGTATATCCGTTGGCATAGAAGAGGTGGTGGTACGGGTTCGTCATGCCATTGGCAACAAGCAGTATGCTGTTGTCATCACCGACGACTGTGTCATCGAAGGTCAGTGTGAAGTTGCCCGACTCGCCGCACGACGACGGTCCTGGGAGATCCGGAAGCGCCACGGTTGTCGTTGCAAGCATGCTTGTCTCCAAAGTTTGGGTAGGCTCGACCTCTGTGGTGGGAATGTCCTGACGCCTCGCCAATGTTGCCGTTCCTTCATCGCCTTCTTCGAATATCGTCGTCACCACTGTTTTGGAGCGCCTCGACCTGGATGAAAACACTTCAAAGGAAGGGAGAGCTGAGAGCGGTGTCTGCCGCTCAGTCCGTGTGGTCAACGGCATGGTTTGCAAGTCCGATGGCAGCGGCCCGGTTACTGTGGGGTATAGTCCCGTCCAGTATGACATTGTTGTCGTGATGTTGGGTGATGGGAAAACGAAGCTTACTGCAGCATCTCCGAACGAAATCACCTTGGTCACGGCCCGGAAGAGAGACGAGGACGTTGCGTTTATGCCAGAAGGAGAAGGTGGAGTTACTACTGGAGAGGTGCTTGTCGTCGACGTCAATGTTAAAGTGAGGGTGCTTGGTGAGACAACACCAGAGCTCGCAAGAGACATCGATGCAGTAGTGTCGGTCTGGATGCTCATAGTGCCATCAAGTGAGGTTGGGCTGCCACGCAGAGAGCTAGAGCTGGGATTGGAGCTCGTTATGGTATTCGACACCAACAGTGCAGAGGAAGACGTTGAGTTTCTGACGATTGAAGACGAAGAGTTTGTACTAGGAAATAGAGTGGGAAATCCAGTCAAGATATCTGAGGCCAGCATGCTGGTCAAAGGCGTACTCAAGGACTGCAATGATGAAGTAGAGCTCGGTGTAAGAATTGGGTTGAGTGAAGAAGCAGACAGTGTAGAGAGTGACAAGGTAGATCCTGTCGGTAGTGTGATCGAGATGCTGTTTGCACTGCTGGTCTGTGTTGGAGTTGAACTGATTGGAACCGAGCTACCCGATGTGATACCGGAGTTTGTACCTAGCAATGAGGTAAGAGTCCTTGATGATGTGCTTGAGGAACTCCCAGTACTGCTGGCCAGGCTAGGACTTGGATTGGGTAGGTTCGAGGTGCTTGAAGATGGGCCGGCAGGAGAAGATGTTTCCGAGGAAGGTCTTGGAAGAGACACAGTGAAGCCATCGCTCCGCGTGTAAGACGACACAGAGGACTCCAAAGAAGTCGTTGTGCTAGTGGTAAGTGAAGTCAATTTACTTGATAGAATTGATGTCCATGTTGTAAGAACACTCGAAGTCAGCGGTAGACTGAGCCCTGATGTAGGCTGCGAAGACATGCCACTAATCGTGCTCGAAGGTAGGCTTGGACTCAGACCAGGCAGGCTGCTCGATAGGATGACGGATGGGAGACTAGAAATCGAGGGTGTGGAGAAGGTGGATGGCAAGACAAATGTAGATAGCGTAGTGACAACAGTAGAGAGTCCGCTGCTGGTAGTGATAACGGTGGCAGATGTAGAAAACGACGGATATGGTCTCTGTGGTTGGTTGATCGGTCGAGTTAGGTCCGACGTCGCAGATGATGTTGGGCCCAACGGGGACAAACTCACAGACGACAAAGCCATCGAAGAAGTTAAAGGACTGCTCCCAAAGTCACTAGTACCGACTTACGATCCAGATGTGAGTCCAGAGGCCAATGACGACGTAAACGTTGCGCCTAGTTCTGGGTTAGACGGGTTGAATATGGACAGCGCAGATGTAGTTGCCGTCTGCGTTGGTGATGCGGTGGCAGCACCGGAGGAAGATGTTCCTATTGTCGACAACGAAGAAACGATAGGTGTAATATCCGCAGTTCGGGTAACAAGGGTACTGAAACGACTGGGCGGCGAGATACTGTTGAGCCACTCTGTTGTGCCGTTGATGACGGAGAAGTAGTATGTACCTCTTGCAGGATTTGTAGGCGATGCACCGATGAGCGAAACCGTAATGATTGGCCCAGGCACAGTGACATAGACGACGCTGCAGTTTCCATCCAAGCCTTGAGCGGCGACTCCAGGCAGAGCTCTGAGCAGAAAATCCAGTACGACGTAGAAGCCAGCGATAGCCAAGCCAACCAGAACTAATGTCAGGACAAGATCCTGGAGGGTTTGTCGATCGGTCCAGTGTATCCGAACCAAGGCCAGGAAAAATTGGTATGTCCACTTCAGGGCACGGCATGGCCACCAGCCACCAGGCTTGAATCCCCACAAGGGCTGCTTCGGAGACTTCGTCTTGGGTTGGGAGTGCTGCTTTGGACCTTCCCATGTACTTGAGATGACCGAATCTCGTTTTTCTTGAGCACCCTTGATACGCGACATAGGAGCAGCAGGCGAGGTGCTGTTGGAAGTTTTGGATGTGGTTGGGTCCTTGAGTGAGGCGGTGGTTGGCGTGCTGAGCTTGCTTTGAATAGGGTCTGCTAGTAGGTGCCGCCGATTAACTGTACTGCTTGTGGATCTGGTTTTGACGTTTTCGTTCACAGATGTCGAAGTTGAGGGGATGTTGGAGCCACTGATGCTGCTGGTAGATGTATTTTCCTTCCTCGCTCTGTTTTTATTGCGGACTTTGTTCTTACCCATGATGAGAGAGGAAATGCTGTTGCTATGATACACCTGCGAAGATGATGCTGATATGCTGTTGTGCAAAGATTGTATTGCGCAAGGTATTCAAAAGTGCTGTTGTGGTGATGAAGGACAGCAGTAACAGACTGATGCTTTAAAGCCCAGCGCATCGAGAGCGTGCCTGCCATGAGTGCGTTAATAACAAAGTGAGCAAAGACGATGGATTGATAGAGTGAGAACGACGCGAGATGTTTGCAGGGCGTGTGGAAGGCAAGAAACGTAGTGGTTGATCGCTCTTGTCTCGGGATGTCGCAGCACCCGACGATTTGACATGTAAGAATCCGTGCTTAATTAATCCTTGCAAATGTAGCTTGCCTATCGCCATAGTCACCATCATTTGCTCTACGCCTTCAAACAGCACAGGTCCTTTTTCTCCACTGCATGCTCTTAACATACATCACTAGACGATCAAGTTTGTTAGAGTAGTAGCGACTGGGCAGCTTCTGATTGTATCAACTCTCCGATTACGCTCTTATCTCCCACATCCTGATATGTCCAGCTTCATTGGCAACTGCTAGTTGCGCAAGGCTGCCTTCTTTCTCCTCCTCTTCGGTCGGCCTTCCCCACGCGACCGCCGTGATTCTGCCAAGTGGCGTCTTCTCTGTAGGCCAGTTCTTGAAAACAGTAGCTGATGGCAGATGCACAAGCCTCATGGCATTGTTCTTCCAGCGACTCGCCATGGCAAGGACTTGGCCGTCCGCTGTGAAGGCAAGATGCGAGATCGGCGTCGTCAGATTCTGCAAATCGCGCAACGGCTTCGGTGCCTTTGGGATACCACCATTTGAGTCGGCTTTCGTGCTGTCGACTGACGGGTCCTTCTCGCTCCATGCTCGCCGGTCGTAGACATTGACCACGCCACTTGAGCTTCCAATGGCCACCCATCGATCACCACCCAGCCAGCTTTCACGCCCGCTCTTACCGCCAAGTGCGATGGTTGTAGTACCCACGGCGCCCTCGTCGTTCCATCGTCCAACGACACCCTCTTGGACGCTCCACTCAGTCACCTCTCCGTTCTTTCCCGCAATGCTCATACCGCTGCCATCACCCCACCACGCGAAGTCTGCAATTCCGCCTCTTGACTCGATGCGCACCTGTGTCGCCCATTGAAGAGTTCTTGCATCTAGAATGTTGACAACACCACCGCCCTTTCTTGAAGAGCCTCTGAGAGCCATGTATTTGCCGTTGGGTGACAGGGAGAAAAACTCCATTGTTCGCTGTTCGTGCTGATGGCCATAGACACGCGACACCTTCTCAACTCTGCCCGTTGCGATGTTCCAGACATGGAAGTAGCGGCGTCGTGCGCTAAGGAAGATGCGCGAGTCCGAAGGGGAGGGGTGGAATGCTGTTGTTGCCAGTGGGGTGCGCTTGATGTGCAGAGATGTAAGAAGAGGGTTCGGGTTCGGCGGGTTGGGGTTGACGTGGTGAAGGTAGAGCGTTGAGCTAGGGCCGGATGAGAGGAGGAGTGGATACGCAGGATGGAAGGAGAGGGAGGTGACGGCCGACTAGAGAAATGGTCAGTAAGATGTTGGCGTACGATAGTATTGCGCTACTCACCGGCCCGGCCTTCGCGACATCTTTCAATCGCTGAATGTCGATGGTGCCTGCTTGCAACTTCCTTCGCTTCGCCATGCTCCTTGAAGTGCGTGAGAGAATATCCGCATCCTTGAGCAGCAGAGCAAGCGGCTGCGTAGTGAGATCGTCTTCATCCACGTCCATGTCGCTGGCAGACTCCTCGCCGCTCTCGTCGTCATCCATGGTCCGTCGCCGCTTCTTGTTGGCCTTGCCTGTCGCGTGTGCCGCCCAGTCTGGGGTGGGGTAAAGCCTCTCGTACTGCTTCCGTAACCGCCGCGCGTATTCCTTGCCATTGACCATGTCGTCGTCTGCCGTTTCTCGCAACTTCCTCAATTGCGGCACCGAAGCCAGACTAACAACCAGTCTTTCGTCGTCGCTGTCTTCCCAGGCGGGTTTGCCGTCATCCTCGTCCGACTCGGTTACCTTTGCGGCTACCGAGCCTGCTGGCGCAGGAACTGGACCAGCATCGAAGAAGAATAGATCTTGGTCTGCCACATTGTCCAGGTCGGCCGCCTCTGCTCCAGAATCGTCTGATGAATCTCCGTATGCGCCGGCGGTAGGATCGAGAGAGAAATTCTCCAGACCTTGACGGAAACCTTCCGAATCGCCGAAAATCATGCGCTCCAGCTCCTCTTCCTCAGCGTCTTTGGGCAAGACAGGCTTTTCCCGCTTTGACTCCGTCTGGATATCTATGCTCTCCGCATCGCTGTCTTCGTCTTGAGCGCCATCTTCCTCGGACTCCTCCTCTGTGCCGAAGCCTTCGAAGTCGTCTTCTTGTGGTTCCTTCACCGGTTGCAGTGCGCCTGCATTTGCATCGTCGCTGCCTTCGAGTTCGGGTTGGAAGCGCGCAGGGTTCTTTGACTTCTCGGGTACGTAGTGCTGGTGACCACCGGATTTGTGTGGAGTTGTCTTTACGGGCGCCATTGCGAGTTCTCGTGAATGTGCAGAGAGAGCTGCTGGCGCGCCATCGCAAAACTGAGGGAGAAATTGTTGCAGGGATAGCCCTGTTACGCGGCAAAGATAGGCGAAGCTCCGCAGCCAGCACCTCTGACCCACAACCACGCAAGAGTTGAGATGCACCATGTCCCAGCGACGAGCATGTCCTCCAAGATTAAGCACCTTCGGATAGGGAGACAACGGTATTTTGTTGATTAACATCGAGACCAGGGCCATGTCCAATAGGTCTGCCTTTTGCAGGCTATTACCCAACCCCGCCGTTTTAACACGCTTCAACTGTAGGAAAGCATTGTCTGTTAGGCCTACACAGTATGCAATCTGGAGCAAACAACTCCATCCTTTCACATCAAGTACGCGGAACGGAAATTACAACACCCTGAACTGTGAGTGAAGAGAATCGTATATACTCTTACGCAACATGCTTCGGACTGCCATTGGCTGACTATTCCGACTCCGACGCGCATCTTAGGCGATACTTAACCGGGCAAGGCTTGTATGACTCTTGTCCAGGCAGATAGATGGTTATATAAGCACATTTCAGGCCTTGATATATCTCTAGTGTTGTCACATGTCTCATAGTCAAGTCCCATATTTATAGTCGTTACTCTTCTCTCTCACCCCAGACCTGTAAACCTCTCCATTTCCAGGCAACCGACAACATGCCAGATTCAAGCCTCGCCGTTTCACTTCTCAAACCCGAGGAAGCAGAACAATATATGCGTATACGGCATGCGGTCTTTCGCAATACCATCAACAACATCCTCTACTCTCGGGGCGAGCCATCTCAGAAAACGCTCGACAGAGTCACAGAAGATATACGTGATGGCGTAATCAACAAGGGCATCCTCTACCTCAAGTGTGTCGATACCTCGACCGGTGAGATGGTCGCAGGCGCACGTTGGCGCTACGTCAAGCCAAAAGAAGAAGGCGCGAAGGAACGTACCTGGGAAGAGGTAGATGCTGGTTTCACCATCCCAGAACCGTACGACGAGAGTGACCCAGAGCTCTTCAAAAGTCTCTACACTCTGTTCAACTCGAACAAGCGGGAGATTCTTGGCAACAGGCCCTACTACGTATTGGATACGTTAGCCACACTCCAAGCCCACGAGAGAAGAGGAGCCGGAAGCATGCTGGTAAGATGGGGCTGTGCAAGGGCGGACGAGGTCGGTGTCGAAGCCTTTCTCGAAGCCAGTCCCATGGGGGCGCCAATGTATGCGCGGCATGGTTTCCAGCCAGTCAAAGAGGTGAGTATCGATCTGAGACAGTGGGGTGGAAAAGAGTTGATGAACTTTATCGTAAGTCCCTCTTCGAGTCCCAATCTACTTTGCAATATGTCTAACGCCATCGTAGCTTATGTTACGACCTGCAAAGCAGTCGTAGTCATCAAGAAAGAATGCAAAAGAGGCCAGTTTCATTATCTCTCTTTATTTGCGTTATTTGCAGGCTATCCTAGTATCAACATAAGTGGTATGCTAATGTCACGTATGATGGATGTTGCAAACATGGGCATTTTACTAGGGTTCCTTTTCTCCTACGGTTCACACAGCAGATTCAGACATGAATCGATGTGGTTTCATATATTTACTGTCTGTTGCGTATGTCAGGAGTTTAGATACGCTGAAATTTGAATCCATTGGCGAGGATTTGAGTGCAATGGTAAAAAGATTCGATTCCAGCATCTTCGAGGAGTAGTATCTCAAATCTTGATGTTTATAGTAAAAATGTGGCCCGACAGAAGCCATTCATGGTCCGAATGACTTTATGTATTTTTCGTATATGCCACATTCAATTTGAGGCACCATCGGGAAAGCGTTTACTCCGGAGTCCACACCCCGGCGGGTTTAAGGCCCCCAAAATTGGCGACACCGTTTAGCGCATTAATGAGTAAGCCCTAGGGTCGTTCAACTTCGCGCATACCGTCTTCGTCGCATCTGACTGTACTTCGGTATAGTGACTGCATACTGTATGAGCACGTGGAGCCATACGACATCGTTGTCCGTCAAGATGGTCTCAGCGCCTTCAGATGCCCCTTTGGATGCATCTCATCCCACCAATACTACGGCCCAGGAGCCACCAGCACCTAAGAGCTTCTCGTGTGTACTATGTGCTCAACGAAAAGTCAAGTGCGATAAGCGGCCGGATGGTTGTGCGAACTGCACCAAGATCCGGGTTCGATGTGTTTACAAGGCCCCACCTCCAGCCCGACGAAGAAAGAAGGGCGTGCGCGAAATCGACGTAGCTACCAGGTTACGCGTGTACGAAGACGCGCTCCGCCAACTCGGAGTGGAGCCAGAAGATTTGGTCAAGCAACATTATGCGAAGGCTACACGTGGTGAAGAGCTGGTGACTGGGTTCAATGGTTTCCTGGAACCACATGGGCCTAGTCGAGCGCGAAAAGCACACGTAGCATCCGAAGTTGGTGTCCTTGTGTTGGAAGAGGGTAAATCGCGATACTTGGAGAACGGATTGTGGACAAGCTTGCACGCTGAGTTTCGTGAACCCAAGGACATCCTCGATGAGTCTTCAGATGAAGAGGTGTCCAGAGGCAGCTACGATGTCCCACTATCTCCGTCAGCCACGGATGGCGCCGCACTGGTCATGGGCGTGCACTCAACGTCGAGCAATCTTCTGTCTCTACACCCGAACCCGGTCCAGATCTTCAAATTATGGCAAAGCTATCTCAGAAACATTCACCCGCTGGTCAAGATTTGCCATGCTCCAACGACTCAGCAGCTCATTTTAGATGCAAGTGATAATCTTCATGCTCTTCCCCGAGATGCCGAAGCCCTTCTATTTGCTATCTACTGTATAACTGTAGAGTCGTTAGAAGATGTTGAGTGCCTGCTGATACTGGGAGAGCCGAAAGGCATAGCGACTCAACGATTCCGGCAAGGTGCTCAGCATGCATTGGCCAATGCAAATTTCTTAAGAAGTTCCAGTGTCATGCTGTTACAATCGTTCACCCTGTTCGTTGTAAGTTTTTGGATAGTGGTCTTGATATTCAAGTCTGAACGCTAATGCACGACAGCTGTCTCTACAGGACTTCGACGCCAGAGTGATCTGGATCTTTTCCGGTATCGCACAAAGGATTGGCCAACGCATCGGTCTTCATCGTGATGGCGACACTCTGAAACTACCGCCATTCGAAGCAGAGATTCGTAGGCGCCTCTGGTGGCAGATCATGGTGCTCGAAGGCTCTTCCCAGAAGCTCGCTGGAACTGGCACATCTGGTATGATCCTTCGAGGCGATGTGGGAATGCCATCCAACATCAATGACAGCGACTTATTCCCAGGAATGAGAGAGATGCCAAAGGAACACGACGGCGCCACCGAGATGATGTTTTTCCTCATTCGATGCCACGTTGGAGATTTTCTCAAGCGATCAGCGGAAGACCATACTACTTTTGATGGCCTTTGGCACCGACTCAGTACAAGCGCGGTACAAGTGGCTACCAAAGACAAAGCCATCAATGAACTTGAAAATCTTTTCCAGCGGAAATTCCTATGTTATTGCGACCTATCTATACCTTGGCACCTACTATGTATGCATCTCGCCAAGTCTGTCCTCTTCATGATGAGGTTCATGGCTCACAGCACCGACTCTTACAACGTTGATATCTCTCCCAAGGAAAAAGACATGTTGTTTGATCTGGCTCTCCAGGTCGCAACTTCGCAGAACCTGGCATACACTACGAAGGAGCTGCGTGGCTTTAGGTGGCATGTCAACCTAAATTTCCAGTGGAAGGCTTTCATATACCTTATCTCTGAGCTCTGTCATCGGACTGGAGGAGAGAAGGTAGATAATGCTTGGGCAGAAATTGAAAAGAGCTACACTTTCCACCCTAGTTTCGATAGGGATCTCTCGAAGCGAGCGCTTCCTATAGCCGTTGACAACCTCACGATTAAAGCCTGGGGCGCCTACAAAGCAGCGCAGGGCGCGCCATGTACTTCTGAGCCTCATTTTATTGAGCTTATACGTCAGCGTCACCGACAACGCCGTCGTCCAAATCTGACCAACTCTACTATCACCAACGCAGCCCTGCCGGCAATGAGTTGGAGCAACGAGGAAAGCACTATCGAGGATCACATTCAAGAGATGTCTAACGCAGATGATGCGAACTCTTTCGACTGGGCCGAGTTCAATGCTAGTCTAGGTCCACCCGATGATGTAACGGACCTGGCGTCTTTCGAGTTTCCAGAGCCGATGAACTGGTCAACTCTGGATGATTTTTTGGTTGACTTGCGCAATAATGGTGACGTAGATGCTAGTTTTGTGACTTCCGGAAACAGCAAGATGTGAACTTGTCACAATATCAGGGTCTGTAGTCAACGGGAGCAAAGCGATCCGTACTTGCACTCACCTTCACTTTCGACTTGGACAGAAAGCTTGCCTTGTGCGCTCAACATCCCACAGACACTCGATCCCGTACTCCACTACGAATATGTCGTCACCTCCACGGTCGAGTACGTCGCCACCTCCATGGCCGAACACGTCGTCACCTCCACGCTCAAATAGGTCGTCACCTCCACTCTCAAAAATGGTGAGAGCTTCACGTCTTCAGGTTGTAGATGCAGTCGAGAGGCAAGCCTCCAAAATCTTGCGGCACCAGCGAAAGAGCTGACCTCTCTCACAGCTGTCTCACTTCGGGTGAATATTCAGATCTGACTATCCAATGCGGCGATGACGTCTACAAAGTCCACAAAGTTGTGGTGTGCACACGGGCAGGTTTCTTCGCTCGAGCTATCAAATTCGGTGGCAAGGTAACGAAGTTTTTTTTCATTTATGTTATAAAACTTGACAACAAGTAGGAGGCTCAAGAGAACGTCATCAATCTCCCTAAGGACGAACCCACAACTATCGCTTCTCTCGTGAAATACTTATACTCAGGCACATACAGTGAAGACCTCTTGGGAAACCTGGACCCTGAGCATACGGAACTACACGACGCGTCGAACATCGTTATTAGGCGAACCCCGTTTTGGTTTTATGAAAACCGTCGCCGCTATACATACGATTTTCCTCATACCTGTTCAGATGATGGATGTAACGATTGGTGCTTGTGCGCACACCACTTCTGCACTATCAATTGCGATTCCACATGCCAAGCCTTTGTCTGCAATGAATGCTGTTCATTGCGAGTTCCCGGATCACCTTCACGGCTCCTCAGTCATTCGAAGATGTACGAAATTGCCGACAAATATGAAGTCACTGGGCTCAAGGAGCTGGCATGCAAAAACCTCGCGCTTGCTTGCTTAGCTTTCTGGGACGACGAGGTATTTCCCATTGCCATCAAACATGCCTTCTCTACGACCATAGCCGAGGATAGAGGCTTGCGAGACGTCATCATCAAGATCGTCTCTGGCCACGACTCACTCGTACGCAAGGCGGAGATTCAGGCTGTAATGCTAGAGCACAGTGACTTGGCTGTAGGCGTTCTACTGAAGAAGGCGGGCTAGGATGATGTGGGATGATGATCAAGGGCGATCAGCAATGCCAAACCACCAAGAGATGAGAGATGCGCTTTAAAGACAATGTGCTATCGGCTCACCATAGTCTCCACTTATAGGATTCAGTCTACATACACAGATCTTTCATTCAACCGAATACTAGCTCCGCGTATTACTTAGTGTACCGTATTTCAGAGCACCATAGTATGCGGTAGAAATTAACCGAGTTCGACATACTCATAACCTGGTCTAATTGGTGTTCATGTATCTCTTCCAAAACTACTTCGAGATTACGTCTTCGTCTGTCACATATGGTCATGTTGGAAGAGAAAGGGCAACAGGCAGTGGTCCCAGGATGATAAGACACAACAAGTCAATCTAGTAGAAGCTGTGTGTATTGGTTTGGACTCAACAACGTCTTCATTATACGCTTGAATTGCTAAATCTATATTCTAAAAGCCATTACATGAACCCTGATATGCATATTACATTAGATCTATCGTCTTCTTCTCATAATTCATAAACCAAAGGCCTCTAGTTGTAAGTGTACACAGGCGAGGCGGGAAGAGTACCGAAGTCACCAGAGCCGAAGGGGCTGCTAGGAGAAACCTTTCCGCCATTGATGTCTGACACACCGAACCAAGCAAGCTCAGCACCCTTGTTGACTGTGATGACAGCGAAAGCAGGAGCGGGCTGCGCAACGTATCCCCAAGAGATGGTCAAGTCGGATCCAGTGGTGCATGGCTGGTTGGCCCAGCTTTCGCTAGCAGCGTTGGAACCCGGCATGCGGATAACAGTGCAGCGCTCGGTCTTGCCGTCTGCTGTAACAGCGAAGTTGTAGTCGCAGCCGGAGTTGCCCTCAATGCAGTAACGGGTTAGGTCCGAAATGGTCCAGGTCTTGCCCTCCACAAGCTTGGGGTTGGAGCCCGGTGCTGCTGTTGCAACAGGGGAAGCGACGGCGGATGGTGTAGGGCACGATCCAGGGTGGGCAGGGTTGCAACCTCCTGGAATGCCAGGGATGGATGTGAAGGTCGCGGCGGGGGACTTGGTGGTTGTGTCAAAGTAAGAAGAAGGGCACGAGCCAGGATGAGCGGGGTTGCAGCCACCAGGGATACCAGAGATGGATGTAAAGGTAGCGGCAGGAGCCGCAGTAGTGGTATCGAAGTATGAGGAGGGGCATGAGCCTGGGTGAGCAGGGTTGCAACCACCGGGGATGCCGGAGATGGATGTGAAAGTTGCAGCTGGAGCAGCGGTGGTGGTATCAAAGTACGAAGATGGGCATGAACCTGGATGAGCCGGGTTGCAGCCACCAGGAATGCTTGAAGCGACTGGAGTAGCAGCTGAAGTCGACTTGGGCAGAGCAGCAATCTGGGAGGAGCACCATTCGCGGATGCGAGCAGCGTCTTCACCGTAACAAGCGGTCCGATCGCATGAGCATATGACTTCAGCAGTGCCCGCAGCGACGCACGCGTCGTAGGCAGTCACGCATTTGTCGTCCTGGCGCGCGCGGAAAGTAGGAGATGCGGTCGCAGCCGACAGCATCAACGCAATAGCGGCGACTTTGGAGAGCATGTTGGTAATTGTTCGTATGAGCTTCGTGTGAAAAGGGTGTTTGTAGGATGTGTTGAGGAATTGATGGTAGTTGTGCTTGACTGTCGATGGAAGAAGCGGATGAAGACAGTCGACGATGCGATGGCTGGATTATATAACTTTCGTGAACATAGCCGTGAGGATATCATTCTCAATTGATGGCATAGCCCGAGTGTGACCGGATGTTCGGAGAAAGCACAACTCAGCACGACCTTGCTTAGCTCTCGAACCATGCTGTGGCAACCATGAGGCTCCCGGAGCGGCGATTTGACGCTCATTGGCTGAAGAGCTGGAATTTTACGATATTCGGCTCTTCTTGCGCCGCAATACGAGGCACAGTCGTATGAGCGACTATCATGACGATACTGCGCTTGACACGAGGGGTGTCCCGTGGTTCGAGGGTCTTTTTCGATAGTTCGGAAGCATTCCGGCGAGGCTTCATGGGCAGCTATCGGCTAGTTGCTCCATAATTAGGACCACGCTAACGGCTAACAGATGACAGTTGAGCTTGATGAAAGCTTGAAAGGTGATCGCCTCGCCTGTAACCCGAGCAGCGGTGACAGAATAGGCAGGGTGGCTGGTAAACGTACGAATGGAATGGACATCGGGTTGGTGAAAGTCCGAATACGACTTCACTAGAAGTCTGTGGGTAGTGACGTGGTAATCGTCTGGCGGGCGGTTCTCCACAGGAAAATAGGTCAACGGCAGAGGCCACTCCGCTGCGCTCGAAGTCCATCGCCGAGCAGCTTTGCTGAAGGAACACGGTGTACGGTCACCATGGTACGGTCACCATGTGCATCGATGGCCGCAACGTGGAACATCCTCAGGTGTAGGACCATGGACCGGCAGTCGATGCGTGGTAGATCCCCGTGGGCAAAAAGCAGATTATGTCGAGCATTACGAGAAGAGTCAGGCTCAGGACATCGTTTGACGACATCAATTCCTACTATCTCTCATTCCTTAACTTCCTCTCGTTTTCTCTATTTCGATCTAGGAAAGCAGCTATCCACTGCCATAGCGGAGAAGGCGTTCATGAAGCGGCGGTGCAAGCAGACTGGCGCTTGCTGTACACGTACGACGAAGCCATTCAATTAGAAGCTCTTCTATTCTCCAGCTGGAACGAATATGCGACACAGTAGTATGAGACAAATTTGACGAACTTCGAAGGCTGAGAAAGTGGCTTTGGCTGCGCTGGGCGACCGGGCGATGGCGCTACATCACATCCACGCTAGCCTAGCCGTTAGCGCAAAGCCACGCCGCTCGTTTCCCTGTAATCGTCATCGTCAACAGCAAGAGGTTGGAACAGCTGGCCAACAAAGCTTTACCAAACACCACAGACTCCCGACCGAGACCCACTATCAGTAGCTGAGCTATACAATATGGTTCCTTCCACTGCCGACACTCCCAATGTCGATAGCCCACGTAAATTGCCTACAGCCGAGGAGTTGTCGGAAGCGCTCAAGATTGATGTATACGACCGAAAGGGCAAGACCAAGGCGCTAGGTGACCTTGTCAAAGGGCAGAGGACTGTGTTAGTGTTTATTCGGCATTTCTGTAAGTGTTGGGTAATGTGACTAATGACAGCCCTGGGCCCACATCATTTGTAAGGGCCGTCAACCACTGGAAATTACCAAAGCGACTAAGACCGGGATACAAGAGGATGGAGCACTGACATCTGCAGGGTGTCTGAACTGTCAAGCGTACGTTCGCTGTATCAGTGAATCTATACCACCATCAAACCTGCCTGCTAATACTCAAAGTACGCATTACCAATGAAAAATTAAGATAGTTTCAACTAACGTATAGCACCCAGTCCTTGTTGTAGGATGTGGCTCCCACCAGCCCATTGACACCTATGCTACGAACTCATCCTCAAAGTACCCCATTTACACTGACCCAACACTCCGCCTACACAAGCTCTTCAAGTTCAAGTCGAACCTAGCTGAAGGGAAAGCTGGCGATGAACAGCGAGATTACATGCGCAATGCGGGTAGTACGATGTCCAGGATCTTTGGTGGCATCAAGGGTGCATTGGGGAATCTACAGCATGTGAACTCTGTAGGACCAAAAGCCTTGAATGGTGGTGAGGTGGTTTTGTCTGCCGGTAAGTATCACTTGATGCTAGCTATGTTGTAACTTCTCAACTATGGTACTAATAGCGATGGTGTACAGATGGCGAATGCGAGTACATGTACCGCATGCAGAATACGGTCGATCATACCAACATAGCGGAGCTGGCAAAGATGATTGGAGCCGAATACATACCCGTAGATGGCGAAGAGAAGAAAGCGCAGACTTGCAATGAACCGGCTACGTGAGCGTTTGGAATTGCATCCTACCACGAGAACCGCCCACAGCAGACACAGATTGCTGAATAGGTTTGAGGACGTCTCCAGCTTTCTTCGTATCTGTATGTTGTGATGCTGTAGCATCAGACTGCATAGGGGATATGGCCACCTTTGATGAGAAAGAGAAGGCGAGTGTCCAGCTGCGACACCCATATTCCAGACCTTTTATTGACATGATGCTCTTTGAAGTTGTTTCTCATGTGAATGTTGTTTCAAACGCATAATCTCAATATCCGAGGATTCTACTACAACACATTATCAATCGGTTTTATTTGCTTTGAGAATATGCATGAGAAGGTGGTCGAGGTCTCAACATGCAGACAATTCACGGGAGATAAAAAGGATATCAAAATTGTTAAAACAAAATACATTGGCAAATTCATGGGTATATCTAACATGTCGGTGATCTAGTAAAGTCATTACGCAAGTCCCAAATCTATATTTCCTGTCCAGCGGCAGCGATGTCTTTCGCTTCATCTCTCATTCTCGCAACTTCTTCATGTTCCCTCTTCAACGCTCTCCAATCGAACTTTTCAAACGCAAAACTCCACGTCTTCTCGGCCACACTCAACATCCACTTGCTCATGGGGCCAATATCGTTGCCGTGGAAGCTCTTCCTTCCCACGTGCTGAACTAGGGGAGGGGTGATTGCGTATCTCAGCTCTCCTCTTTCGTTGGCGAAATCCTCCGTGATGACGTCCATGTAGCCGAGATGGCGCTCTTTGAAGTAATCAACGAGTTCGCCAGCTTTGACGGTAGGAAAGACGAAGGCTTGGCTGCAGCAGGCGAAACGAGGCATTTCGTGGACGCCGACAGCCATGGGTTGGACGGTAATGCGACCGAGACCGAAATACGTAAGAATCAATATGCCAAGTATGGTGTACATTGCCAGGAAGCTGCGGGGTGTCACAAGGGCGAGGGTGAGTTTCGTAGTCGGCTGTGCGAACCGAAAGAAGAGAATAACGATGGTTGGCACCATGGCCACGTATGCCGAGTTTTTCAGGTATGTTCTCCACTCCTCAGCATTCCAGCCCAGGAACTCCTCGGTGTAGAAGAGGCGCAGATAGAGGAAGTCGGGTTTCGCCCGCTGCAACGCTGCCTGTTGCTCTGCCTCCTGAATGGCAGAGAGAGTACGGTGGTACCAACCATCCACGGCTACGGTATCGTCTTCGAATAGAGCCACATAAGGCGTAAATTTCTCTGTACACTTGTCCAACAGATATTGGTAGTCAAATAGACCCTTCTCCAAAAAGTTGTTTCGTGCTTCCATGATACGAATGTACTGCATGCGGTCGAAGCCATATCCGTAGGTCAGTACTTCATCGGCAAGACCGGCCAACCACTCCTCGTTATGTGCAGGATGCGCCTCGGGGTTCGAGTGCGGTATGAAGACGATCAGGTATATCTCCTGCCGCTCTTCGGGCGTAAGACCGTCCAGCAACGAGCCCACGGCGTCTGGCAGGTATTGAGCGCCGTCCCGCTGGTATGAAGGTATGCCCACGCATAGTTTTCGCTGCTTCTCACCACCAGCCTTGGTCACGTTGGCGGGGTTGTAGGACGAAATGAAGGACTCGGCTTGCTGTCGTCTGATGGCGGAGTAGCGGGGGGCATAGCCTTTTCGTGGGTTGAAGAAGACGGATGTAGGGTCGCGTGCTGATATCGAGTTTATTGTGTAGAAGAAGCTCACGGCAACAAAGACGGCGATGCCTATGACAAGGCGTGAGGGCGAGAAATGCATGATGTGCGGGTAGTGAACGAGAGTGATGATGGGGCCAGGGTATTATCGCATCGCTAATCGAAAAGTGAAAGTGGAAACGAAAGTAAGGCCGGGGGGCAGGTCATGTCATCGTCAGTGTTGGTGGTGGACAAACAGAAGGAGAGATGGGAAAAAAAAGACAGGAGCGACGCGCGCTCAAGATGAGGCGGCTTGAGTGGCCGGAGCTGAGGGTCCACCAAAACGGCGGATCTTGCCTTACGAGGATCTGCCGTGGCTGACGAAGGATAAAATTAGCAGGCCAGCATGTGCGTGGGTCGATGCTTGCAACTGCTGCTGGAGCTGGTGGCGGTGACGGCAACTAAGACGACGCGCAAGATTGCCATGGCTGCCGCTGAGGACGCAATAAATGGAGGCCATCAATGCCGAGTCAATAGGGGAAACAAGTAAACAGTGACATGGCAGACTCGGTGCCACTCGGTCATGTCGGCGGTACTCGCACGTAGGTGCCATGGTGGTCAGTCATGTCATTGCTCTTCATTTTAAAGGATCGATAGGAGAATTCTAGGGACGAGGCACGACGGGTTGAACCGATGGATTTGGCTCCTGGCGCCTCTCTAGCGTGACAGTGACAGACGGCTGCGACTCCGCTTCATCCTTCGGTAATTGGCAGACGTTTGGCAACACCATATTGTTTGTTTCATGATAAGATTGCCGAGTCTACAGGACTGCTTGGTGTCTTGCGCGCTTTCCTGCACCCAAGACCACAACCGCCTCTCACCACATTCATGTCAAGATGCGATAGTCGCTGTAACACGTGCGCACGCATGTTGGCGCGCCACAGCCGAAGTGGCGCGATGACGAACATGGTGAAGTCGACATCTCATGCCCGCTGCACTGCGCATGCATCGCACTGAGTCACACAACTCCATCGTCGCTGCTTTGTAAACATCCTCCCAGGGCCTGTAGCATTGGGGCGTCTTCTTTGATCCAGTCATAGCCCTTTGACTCACCAGCCTTTGATCCCCCGCTCACCTTGGAATCACTCATATAGCGTACCAGACAGCTTCCGCCTCGACGCGCACAACCTTGGAAGCAGCAACCCTCGCTCGGTGCCATGCCCAAGAAGCACACCCCCTCGTACACGACTGCCAAACCCTCCTACGTCCACCCGTCGCTGCAGAGTTCGCGCTCCCCCGCTTCCTCTTCGTCGTCGTCTGAGCCTCAAACCGTCAACCAGCGCATACAACAGCTGCGTCGCGAACAAGCTCCCAGAGCAACGCCCGAACAGCGAGATGAGCTCACATCGGTAGTAAGCAGTCGTACTGTCCCGCCGGAGCTGCGGCGCATATTGCACATACCCGAAGTTAATGCTCCTAAACCAAAGGCCAACACACGGGCGCGAAGGGTCATGGGCGGCGTGAGACCGCCCCCAGGTCCTGCCGCACCTACGAGCTGGTTGCAGACAAGTCGCCATGCACCATCTTATACGAGAAAGAGGAAAGCTGAGGCAGACAAAGGGGCCGTGAGGTTTGGAACGCTGGCCACAGTGACCAATCAAGAATACAAGGTACGGCGCTCCCCAAAACGTGGCTAGCATATGAGGGAGCTCGTTCCTTCTAGCTTGTACCCACCCAAAACATACCCTGAAGGCATACGTACTGTACTGCGTTAGCACCCAATGGGAGAGTAGCAGAGTATGCCTTTGGGGCAAGTTTTGGTGTCCAGGGAACTACTCATGAAAACGAGCTCCTTCGTACTGGGTCTTCAAGGCTTAATCGTCCAATGCAGGCTTCTTACTCATGACAGCGCCTGCCACCACCGCGAAGCCTCGTCCACTACTGTCTACGGTCGTTTGCCCAAAATTGGGAAGAGCTCATCGAGTACGAACAACACTACATAACATCCCTACCGACCTCGCTGAAAGAAGCACTATTGAGTTATCTGACATTATACGGGGAGAAGGGAAGCCTGGACTTCAAATCGCTCAGAATCCTGTTCCAAGATGAAGAGGGCACTGGTACAACAGGATGGGAGGAAGTCCAATTCCTCGATTTCAGCGGATTATTGAGCGAACGCTTCAAGATTAACGATATTGGAAAATGCGTCAAGCGTCATAGTGCTATTACCACTATGGATGTTGCGGCCCTTCGCGTCACTGACGAAATCGCCGAGTCCTGGGAAGAGGAAGTTCAGGAGAGCGTGACAATTCCCTCGGTACCAGCGATGAAGCTCCAAACTCCCTTTTTCAACAACTTGAGCCGACTGTCTCTTGCTCACCCTGGGCAATGGGCGTCATGGCCCGATCTGCTTCGCATCTCGCCGAACCTCAACAAGATCACGCATCTCTCCCTCGCTCATTGGCCCCGTCCCACAATGACACCAAACGCCAACACCACATCGATGGTTTCCCAACAAACAAGTGTTTCACTAGGAGGATCACACTTCTATTCCGATCTCGACGACGACTGGCATGAAGCTACCAATATCTTACGTCGCTTTTCAAAAGATACGTACTCACTACAGTGGCTCGACTTAGAAGGCTGTAACTGGCTTAAAGCCTTGACGTCGCATCCCGGCCGCACAGCTACGGATACAAATGCAAGTACGGAATGGAACACACAAACTGGAATTCCCGGTCCAGATTGGAACGACGCCTGGCGCCGTATAACCTACGTCAATTTCTTCCAAGGCTGGATCCCAAGCGACAGTCAAAGTCTACAAAATATGCCTGCGGGCATTGTACCAGTGCAATTACTCCGCTGGCTAAGGGATAACAAGGACAAGGAAGGTGTTAAATGGCGTCTGAATCCACAGGAAACCGGGCATGCGGTGGCGGAGTGGGTGAATAGAGAAAAAGTCGCTAGACTTGTTGGCATGGACATCCAGGGCATCCGTAAACGAGGCGAGGGCGCCTGGTGTCGCATCGACTTTGGATGGGGAGCTTCTGGCGAGAGGGTGGTCTGAATCGAATGGAACACGTATTCAACCCAATAGTCCCTTGATTCTTCTACATTTCTAGCTGTGATGCAGCGTCCAAAACTAAAAGGGAGTATTCAAAGATATAGAATGACTACCGCCGAGATATATGTGCCGACATATCCGATAGGTATGACATCGAGCAGCAATGCGACTATTCATAACCTCAATCTCCTGAACCCCTTTAATCAGCGTCGACACTTTGATGATTGTTGAGAAACTACTCCTCGTATCGACAAGATAGGGCTAATGAAGATCGCATACCCACATTTTGTGCTAGCTGACTCGCTAACGCAGGTGCCTCCCGAGTTAAGTAGTAGATGGGTACGTGCGGTCATACACCGTACAAGCATGGCTGGACATGGTGGGCTCTTTTACGACCATGGAGGAGTGCATTTATTCTTGGTACTTCATGATGCTGAAGCCGACGACGCGCAATTTGAAGTTGAGGAACGCTAACGATATCACCTCTGCACAGCCAACGCTGCTATTCATAGACTGCGCGGGGTTTGGACTGCTGCCCTAGTATCGATGGTCGGTCTGGATTTAGATGCTACTTTTTGTAGTCGACGCGGAACTCCCGAGGTAGCACAGCCACATACCGGATGCAGCTATAGCATGAAGAAAGGTGCTGTATTGGTCAATCGCTTGTCTATTAGCTGACATTGCGCAATATACACTGTAATGCATTCTAATTCCGGGTACTGTTGGTTCCAAGACGTTACGTTTTGCTTCTCCCGCCTCAAAAACCGTCAACTCTAAACGGCATGAACGGCAGCAGTGCGCGCGGTTGTTTGCTTTTCGAACCCAAGACTTGACTGCGGGTAGGCCCAGCCGAGGAACGGAGCGTTTCGGTAAAAGACTGTTCCCAGCGGGTATCTGAAACCGTGACACGTGAGCTGTAACGTTTTGCGCTGACAAGAATTGGAGGTCAAGAAGCTGACGCGTACGTTACGGGTAAGCAAGTGACCGAAGACTGGAGTTTTGGTATGGGGAAAGGTAATTAGATTTGGGTGGACATCTTGAAAGGGTAATTCGCCAAAGTAGGTATTGATACTGTCGCAAAGCCACAGTTGTTGCGCTGTTGCTTTTGCACGGCCGTTATTCTAGGATGTCTGTAGAATCACTTTGTTAACCAGACGTCGTCATGTCCTTGTACAAGCGTCTGCGCTTGAGAGTGATGCGTAGAGCCGGCGGACCATTGTCCATAAGAGGGAGGCGTCTTAGTTCGTGAGATGAACGATAGCAAGCCACCCGCGTAGTGTAGACGTTACAAGGGTGCTATAGCCTCAACAACGGATTTGCCGGAGTCGCTATTCGCGGAAGGTGTTGGCATTGCTGCCTCGTATTCACTGTGGCCTTATCTCTCAGCCGGGGGCATGCCATGCTCACTACATCGAAGGGCAACAATTATTGTTCTACTCCTAACAGCGAGTTTAAGGATTTGTAGGTGTAGTACTCTGATCCGAGAGGCGGGGCGATTCTACCAAGCCGCGCGGGCGGGGAGGGCGGAACCGAGATAAAGTGTCAATGACGTGGTGATGGTCGATAAACTCGCGGCTTCATCATCGCGATAAGACGCAGGTCGAGACTCCCGCCAGTAAGCGTGCGAAGTGCAGAAGCGTGCCGTAGTCATGAGCTTAGCCAGATAGGTCCCACAGCAACCAAGCGTGAGTTGATGCAGCTACACATGTCTATAGAGAAGAGTGCAGCCCGGTGCAGGTCGTCAGCCAACGAAGTTTGAGCGGCAGTAGATGGCGCGGGAGGGCTATGCTGCAAGAGGTAGGACGCGGCGTTTCACCTAGTTCCTTCCGAGTCTGCAGTCAACGCGCGTCTGGACAACGTAGAATCAAGGCGGCCCAGATTCAAGCTTCGAAGCAACAACGGGTGTAACAATCGTAGTGCCACCACGGCATCTAGAACCGGCTGCGTTAAAGCATCACAAATCCTGGGAGGAAGGACGATTGTATTCCCAGATGTTCCTGCGATGTGAAGGTGGCGTTCGTCACCGTTGCCATGCATTGCCCCATGTCGCCGCCCAGCTAGGGCGTGAATGGACGGGATTACTCAGGTAGTGATGAGGTGAGAAGAGGTATACTTGTCATGAGCAGGCTCTCCACTCGGCATACACGAGAGGCGTGGAAAGCGTGAAAGATCGCCCCAGCGTCGTAATGAAACCAGGATTGCTGAGGGGCGTGTAGAAAGACGAGGCTCGGTGCGCCAACTGATTTGGAACAAGCTTTGCCGCGATGTTGAGTCGGCCATGGAACATTCGTCGACGACAGGCACGCTAGACGGCTAGCGTGCCTGCGAACGTGAAACTCGGAGCACCCCTGCTTGGCTTTGGCTCTTTGGGGGTTCTCTTTCAAAAAGCCCGTGGTTATCGCCGCCGCCCATGCCTCTCATAGCCTCTGCAGCCTCCCTTGTCCTCGATGTCGTTCGTTCTTCCCTCGTGTCCGTGAATTGCGCGTTCCACCTCTCATTTCTTTCTCACTACTACCACCACTAGCCCTTTCTCGCCGATAAGGTCGACTCTTGCCCGAGCCAGAGCGTCGAATACCACCTTGTACCTCAAAACTCCGACAAGGGCGTCCGCTCTGAGACTACATCTTCCCACCTAGGTCCTATCGAGTTCCACCTGTGGTCACCCTTCACTCACCGAGGACCCGTCCCCTCCCCATCATTCGCCGGGCTCTTCAACCGCGCCGGCCACCATGCTTACCTTCAAGAAAGCCCTTGTGCTTTCCCTGGCTTGTTTGACGCTATTCTTCATCTTCAAGTCGCAGCACCACGGTAGCACAGCCCCCAACTTCCGCAATGCGAAGGAGATGCCCAGGCCGACCGCCTGGGTGAACCCATCCGACAGGGAGCGCGCGAAGCTCAAGGAGAAGGAGTCGAAAGAGGCGCAGAAGGCCGCAGAGAAGGCGGAAAAGACCTTCGATACGCCCGGTGCGCCAGCGCCCAAAAAGCCGAAAACCCAAATCAGCATGGACGAGCTGAGGAAGCGCCCACTCAAGGAACAGCTAGAATACCAGTTCCCCTACGATGTCGACGCGAAGACGCCCGCATACATTTGGCAGACATGGAAGTACACACCGGCACAGGGCGAGTTTGAGGAGATGTTCCGCGAGCCAGAGGCCAGCTGGAGCATCCACCACCCGTCTTTCGTCCACGAGGTCATCACCGATAATGTCGCAGTACACCTGATCAGACATCTATATTCTTCTGTTCCTGAGGTCATTGAAGCCTACAACGCTCTCCCTGTCCCTGTGCTGAAAGCCGATTTTTTCCGCTACCTTATCCTCCTTGCCCGTGGCGGCATCTACTCGGATATCGACACTTCGGCATTGAAGCCTGCGTCGGATTGGATACCCTCTGACGTACCCGCGAACACCTACGGAATGGTCATCGGCATCGAGGCTGATCCAAATCGCCCGGACTGGGCCCAGTGGTACTCCCGCCGCGTCCAGTTCTGCCAGTGGACTATTCAGTCGAAGCCTGGCCATCCCGTGCTTGTTGATGTTGTTACAAACATCACCCAGGAGACACTTAACCGCAAGCACGCGGGCAAGCTCAGCAAAGACTACAAAGGCATCATCGAGTTTACCGGGCCCGCTGTCTGGACCGATACCATCTTCGACTACTTCAACAACCCCGACTACTTCGATATGAGCACAAGCAAGGGTAACATTACATGGGAAAACTTTACCGGCATGAAGGCGCCCAAGAAAGTTGGTGATGTCATTGTCTTGCCCATCACAAGCTTCAGCCCCGGCATTAAGACCATGGGTGCTGGCGAGGATGACGACCCAATGGCCTATGTGAAGCACAACTTTGAAGGTATGTAGTTTTTTCTTCTTTTATCGAGCATCCGAGCGTACCGTCGTATCACGCTCCATCGTGCTACGCAGTACAAGCCACCGAGATGCAACCGTCCTTCGATTACACCCGCCTCAAGTCCCTGGTTGCCTCAATACTGACTAGCAATAGGTACCTGGAAGCCTGAGAGCGAGCGTCACATCGGCAAGACATACAACTGAACGAACAATCCCTGCGAATCGTCCGACCGAGCTCACCACATCACACCACATCACACAACCGTATTCACATATAGTGTACACCGCATTGAGCTGCAAAGGAAATGGGCAACAGGGAGTTGCGCGGCGGGCATCAGATAATGCCGATTCGAGTCGTGTGTGAGGAAATACAGCTTCCGGGGGGTACAGGCTAGTGGGTTGTGTACACGCGTAGTTGTGAGACGCAGCACTGGCAGCCAGACTATCAACGTCGAATCGTTTCTGCTGTTGCCCCGACGCTGGCATGGAGAACAGGAAGCAGCGCGGGCACGGAACATGTGTTGGTACAGCACCAACATTTTCAAATCGGCTTCAAGCGCTGAAGTACGAAAAGTTTCTGTTTTGAGGTTATATCGGCTGCATTACTACTTGGCGTATGACAGCGTTTCATCTACTTTTTCCTACGAGAGGCGTTTGGAGATATGCCTATGGCGATACCTGTGCATACATTTGCTTTAAATAAGATACGCCATTCCCTCATCACGTTTTCCGTTTCTGAGAATCATGTTTTGTGTCTTAGCTCATTGTGTCATAGTGCCTGACTGGCGATCGAACTATCGTACATATACTTTAAAACGAGAATCTAACAGAGAAAAAAAGAAGAAAAGGTACTATGGGTATCACAGTCGAAAAACCACCAGGGTTTACAAATCACCATTCCATAAAATCCATCACCAATCTCATCGCCTGTTCCCCCCAAATAAGTCGCCGATCTTTCCCATCGTGCTCAATAGACTGCCTCCGAGCGTCGGTCTTCTCTCCAGCTCCCTGTCTTTCGCATACCTCCTCTCATACTCCCTTTCCGTCTCAGGATCCAACTCCCCGTAATGCTGATCGTGATGTCTATGATGTTCATCCTCGTATTTATCTTCGCCATCCGCATACGCATGTGCATTATGTGCGTGCGTGCTATGATGAGAGTAGTGGCTTTGTTGCGAGGAGGTGCGTGCGTAGACGGGAGCGGCCTGGGGTGCATAGTTGACGGGAGGTGGGTAGGATGTAGAGGTCTGGGGGGCGGGATATTGGTACATCTGAGGGTTGGACTGACGAATGGCGATGGCAGGGGAGCTGGGTTGGAGATATGTCGGCCGCTGGCTGTTGTAGGAGGAAGAGGAGGAAGTGCGCCGGTGAGATGGTATGTGAGGTTGTGGCATTGATGTCATTGCGCCGCTGTTGTAAGGGGTGGTTGGCGAGGATGAGTATATGGGTTGTTGTTCGGGGATTGGTGAGAAGTAGTTTGTGGGTTGCTGGGGTAGTGGCACCCCAGGCGTGGTGGGGTAAGGCGGCTGTTGTTGTGGATATTGTGGATGTGGTGGATATCCTGATCTGGTGGAGTCGTAGGAAGACATGGTGATGTTTCGTGGGTAGTGGATTGGCAGATGGCGGGATTTTCCCATGCACGGGTTATGATATCTTTTATGTCTCCAATCGATTGATACTGGCTGTGGCCCTGCGCTGTATGCCCTTGGCCCTGTTTCAAGGTTTGGCGATCGGCAACGTTGGATGTCGTATGCGGCTGGCTGTGGTGCTCCTAATACAGGATTAGGTGTCGATAACGGATAGATTGTTGTTTCAGAACGATCACAGCTAGAACATGTGGTCCCAATAGTCTTAATATATTTAATATCCTAAAAGGTTGATCGGCTGCCTTGGCTTTTATACTCCATCGCGCGCCTCCATCGGTCCACTTCTCTCACCGAGCCTTATGTGCACATGCACGAACTAAGTCTTTCCGCGGTGAACTAATGCGATCCGGAGGGCCCTCCTCACCAATTAGTGCTCACCCAAGATCCATCCCGGCTGCCAAGGAATATCCGTCCTGTGCAATCGAAGGCGAAAACATGAGGGGCAACGTGGACTGCATGCTATGATGTCACGCTCTTAGCCGAAGCTTCACCGGCAGCCTGGGTTTAACGTCGGGGTGCCTGGCGTTAGCGATCTAAGATGGTGTGCAGTAATCCGATGTTGTTGGTGGAGAGACGAAAGGGTTGCCGATCGTTTTCTCGAAGCCGCGACGTGACATAAGCTTGGCACAACCGTGCGCCAGCGTGACGGCTAATGAAGCGCATCGTGACCTTGTGAAGCGACCCTGCGGAAAGCGCTTACATATCATCGTATCTTCAGTCACTCTGAAGAGGATATGATAACATTTACCAACAATTACGCCGCAGCGCTTTGCTCAGAGTCCGTCAGGGGTATCCACAAGGAGCTATCGCACGATCATAACGATGCAAATATGAACAAATGCGTGAAATGCATGTCTTGCACACGCTATTCTTTGTGCAAGCGTGGCATCTGACGCTGTAGTGACTTTGCAAAGCGCATGGCGCGTAGATTGCCTTTGCAGCATAAGTCTGTTCTTATGAGATATAGCTGAGCCACAAGCTTATCAACGGTGTATGTGGCTTCATTACAGTGCGATCCCAACTTCGAATGAATTGATTCGTCCATTGTTGCACTTCAGAGGCTGTGTTGCGGCGACATGTCTTTTTTCCTTCCTTATTAGCGTGCATCGCCACGAGCAACGACTCCGCTAACATGGAGCTAACGTCAGTTGGGCATCCGACAATGGCCGCCTTACCAACCACACGGCAGGTGTTCGCATTCCAGCGACTAAGTTCAATGGCCGATGAACGCCAAGGAGATTGTTCGTCATATGAGCCAAACTAGTTCTTGACATTACCCCACCACTGGCAGGGCTGAGCGGTAAACTCAGCCACTGTGACTTCTGGCGCAACCATTCTTTAGGGAGCAGGCAGTAATCTCTCCCCCTCTCCTTTCCAAATCACTTGCCTTGTCCGGGTCGCACATCGATCTTACCTACTCTCAGCGCTTACTCCTGCAACACCTTGCCGGAATCACAGCTGAAAATGTCCTACAACTACAATCAACCAGGCGGTTATCAGCAGCCGTATCCGGGCCGTAAGTCGTCAGGCCCTCACCTCACAGCCCGACGATCGTTGCATCCTTCATGGCTTGCGAGACTTGGCGCTGATTCCTGACCCTGTACTAATATCTTACAGAAGCCCCGCCGCCCCAAGGATACGGTCAGCATCAACAATATCAACAACCTCCACAGCAAGGCTATCATCAACCGCCACCAATGCAAAATCAACAGTACGGTGGCTACCAGCCACAGCAAGGCTACGGCCAGCAACCACCGCAAGGTCAATATGGTGCGCCGCCACCGAACCAGTATGGCGGCCCGCCTCAAGGACAGTATGGAGCTCCCCCACCACAGCAAGGCTACGGCGCTCCTGGACAGTATCAACAGCCACCGCCAGGCCAGTATGGTCAACAACCACCTCCGGGACGATACGGACAACCACCACCTCCAGGACAGTACGGCCAGCAGCCACCTCCAGGACAATATCAACCTCCGCCTGGTCCACCACCAGGCCAGTATGGTGCGCCCCCGCCACAGGGTCACTTTGGAGCTCCACCACCTCAAGGACAGTACGGAGCACCACCACCTCAAGGACAGTACGGAGCACCACCTCCTCAAGGACAGTTCGGCGCGCCCGGCGGTTTTGGCGGGCCACCAACGCAGCCTTCTCTCGGTTATGGTCCCCAGCATGTAGCCAACATTGACGTCAGCAGAGACGTCGAAGCCGTTCGTAAAGCGATGAAGGGATTTGGAACAGACGAGAAAGCGCTTATCGCAACACTAGCGAAGAAGGATCCCATGCAAATCAACACTATCCGGACACAGTACGACCAGCGCCTGATGCGAAACATGGTCCAGGATCTAGAGAAAGAGACCAGCGGTTACTTCGCAAAGGGATTAGTTGAAATCGCACGAGGACCTCTAGTATCTGATTGCTACAACCTGATGGAGGCTATGAAAGGCATGGGCACGAAAGAAGTCATCCTAGACGACATTCTCATCGGAAGAAGTAACGCCGACATAAATGCCATCAAGCAGAAGTACCAGGAGTTATTCAAAAGGCCGCTCCAGAAAGATCTCCAAGGCGACCTCAGTGCCGGAACTGAGCAAATGTATGACATGATTGTTGCAGCCCGCCGCGCAGAAGATTCTTATCCTGTCAATCCGCAAGAAATCGAGCAAGCCGTCACCGATCTCCAAGCTGGCATGGGTGGATTTGCTAGCAAGAACGTTCCCCAAGTTTGCCAGATCCTCACCAGCAAGAATGACGCTCAGCTCAAGGCCATGGCGAACTCATACCAGCAGCGATTCCACAAGTCGCTCGACAGTGTGCTGAAGTCTGCGTTCTCTGGACACATGGAAGACGCACTGCGTCTGCTTGTGCACCGTGCTACCAACCGACCCGAAGCTGAAGCCGTCCGCCTGGAGGAGTCGATGGCTGGTTTGGGCACCAAGGACGAGATACTCGTACAACGTGTCGTTCGCTGCCACTGGGATCGAAATTTCATGAACGCTGTTAGCAACGCGTACAAGCAGGTTTACAAGAAGGACCTGGTCAAGCGGATAGAAGGGGAGACTCGAGGTGATTATGAGAAGCTTATGGTTGCTTGTGTGAAGCCTTGAAGTACAGTAGAGGAATGATGAGAGTTGGGTTGGATCGTATGATATCACTTTTTCCTTTCTTGGTTCTTCGGCCTGACGGTGGAAACCTCGGGCGTAGAGACGATAGTAATCTCAATACGTCACTATTGACTTCCATTCCTAAGCCCTAGATTCCCATTCCCCCTCAATTTAAGTTTCCGAGTTTCACGCTTCCACTGCATCCATTGACGCTCATGTTACTTCTTGTCCCCGCTTTCCTTCTGTTCGCCTCCATGTGTTCGTCTTCGCTCATCCGCCAAACGAGCTGCTTCATACATGCCCCACGTCCAACCACACATAGAGCATTTGCTCGCCCCGGCGACGAGCCACACTCCCACATTAATGCCGCATAGACAGGTGTATAGACCGGGATTTGCAGGCATTGTCGCTTTTGGATATCAGGTGTCGAAGAGAAGAAGATGATGGAACGAATTGA